AGCCATATAATTTCTATAATAGGCAACCTTTTTTTCATTTTCTTTTATCACTGTTGTAATGGTGTGTAGAGTTCCAGTGCAGGGGTCAAGATTCCATTGCACTAGGTATCCTATGGGTGCTTATAACAAAAAATAGTGCTTTTTCTAGTTTTGAAAGTAATTTGTGTAATCCAAATAATTTTCTATACCATCTCATTGTCAAATGTCTTCAAAGTATTCATTTCATTTTCCCCTGGAGAACTGGGTATACTTCTTAGTCTTTGTTTTCAAAGAATATATTCCTCTAGCCTCTTATTTCTGCTTATCTACATTTTTTAGCTCTGAAATAGCTGTAAAAGACCACAATTTTATCTGTCCTGTTAAAAGTTGAACAACATGGTGTCAACTGTCAATTCTGTGAATGAGAAAGGGATTTTCTTAGTTCCTGAGTTCGGTGGGCTTTCTGTGAAGCCTTTGGGATATCTGTTTGCATAACAGTCATGCTGTTTTTCCATTAGGCAGAGGAGGAAAACTCAGTGGTGACAGGATGATTTGGCAGAAATTTAATGGATGGATTTTATAGGGCTCTGCTTATAGGGAGCTAGGTCCTGTGCTGTTCACCACAGACACAAGTAGGAAGGGGGTTAGGTGATAAATTTGGCTGTTAATGCATGGGGTTTTTTCCCAAGTGGTAAGTGGGAGGGCCAACTGAAGCACTGCAGAAAAATCTCGTGGTATTTGAGTGAACTTGACAAAAAAAAGCGCTACTCAGTGTTAACAAATGCAGAATAACACACATGGGAATGAACATGAAGAATGTGTCCACTGTCTTGTACATTAACACCTGATTCACAACTTCTCTGAGACTTTGAAATCACTGAAGATAATTCAGTGGTTAATTCAATGATCCTAAAAGCAAGCAAGATGCTAGGAATAAAAAAGAAATAGAGAAGAGATTGAGGGAAAACTGTGCTGATTTAGAAACCCATTTTCTTCCATCTTCTTTGAAAACTTGGGGCATTTTCAAACCACCCGCACCTCAGCACATGACGAAGGGTAGAGTAGACCTAGCCGAGAGCTGAACATGGGCAACAAGGAATGAAGGACCATAAGGAGAACACAAAGTGTTGCTGCAGGCTTTTGTAGGTGTTCAAGACCGACAGTTTCAAACAGTGCTGAAACAAATCCATGAAAAAAAGAAAGCCACAAAATGCTGTTAAACTGAGGTACATGTACAGCCTGTGACTTAAACTCTCCACCCTCAGATTTCTGGAAGACTATGCTATTTGTGTGATTACTGTTTGTTTACCTTATTTTTATACACCTTCCTAGGTAATTGCTTCTTGCCACTTCCAGCCAGGCCACTTGCACTAGACCAATGTTTAATCTGACCCCGTGAAGCCATTCTTGTGGGAGTAGATTTTAAGAGAAAAGCTCGCTGCTTTTCCCTTATTTTCAAGTGCCTCTGCCTGTGGGAGTCCTGGTGGAGTCCAAGAACTCAATCTGAGTGTTTTTATTTCCCTCTTAGCCCTTATCTGTGCTTTAGTTAACAGCTTTTCTTCAGTACCTGTGGCCACTCTGCTCCAAATATAGCACCAAATTAGCTGCTTTTACAGAGATTTCAGTAATATGCTTAGCTTTATTTGTACTATTTTGATGTTTGTGTTATGTGTTAGTCCATTAAGTGCTACACTAAAGGCTGTGCATCTTTGTTCAGCTCTGTACATTTATTCTCTTGTTCAGTGTTTTTTGCAGCAGATGAGTACAAAGATATTTTCATGGATGCTTTTTTCCCTCACCTCCTCCTTTAAGTGCCTTTGAAATAAATTACATAAGCTTCTGCAATTGCCACACTGGTCCAGCAGTCTATATTTAAGTTCTTCTCTTTTAGTATTAGCCACTCTCTTTGGGCAGCAAAAAAAACCTTCAGCCCAGTTTGTTCCTTTCTGCAACTCACCACTGCAGTTAAAGATTAACAGCTCTGTTCTTCCAACCCAAACAGTTGTTATTCCAGAGTACTCATGCTAAATAACTGTATCGGCTCCTTGTCTATGTTGAGTAGCAGTTCCTGCCACACACACACCTATCTCTTGAAAGTTGGTTTGTTGAGGCAGATAGGCACTTGTTTACTTGGACTTCTAAATGTTTAAATAGGTCATTGCAAGAGACCTAAACCAAAAATCAACAAAAAGCAGTGTAGCTGCTTACTGGGCACAGCTGAACTGGCTGACAGAGTATCTTCTTAGTTCTCTTGGCATCAGTGAGAGTCAGCAATTGCAAAGGAAATTAAGTTGCTCTACTTTTCTCAGTACACGATTTAATGATTCTTCAGGCTACAAACTAGTACTGACTGTAAGAATGCACAAACCTAGAGTCTTGCAGGTAACATCAGTGTTGCTTGGGAGAGCTGACCCTTTCATGAGAACTGCTCTAGCACTTAGTGTAGCAGTTGCTGTTCTTAAAGTAGGAAAAAATGGACCAATTTATACAATGCCAGTTTAATAAAGAAATGTCTGGAGGAAGGGAATGGGCTGAAGTGCAGGTAAAATTATGAGAGGAAAAATGTTAGATTGTCAACAGCAGTTGTATTGCTCCAGGTAACACCATGCTCAGTGTGCTGCCATCTCTCCGCGCTGCTTACTTTTATGGGATAAAGTGAATTCAGTGTAACCTGACCATCAGTCTTCAGCCAAGTCACTGCCTTTCCAGGAAGCTTTATTTTTCAAATGTCGTAAGTAGAAGCCTCAACAGTTGTGCAGGGCAGATAGGTTGTTCCAGGAACAGCATGGAACTGATGAAGCCATATTTCCTATGATTTTGTACCCTTTCCTACCTGTGGCTCCCAGCAGCTCCAGCTTACCCTCTGTCCCCTGCAGCATCTCCACTGGGCAGCCATCGGCACACGTTGTGTCTGCTCTGGAGCACTACATG